AGATCTGCCTGCCTCTGCCTCCCAAGTGCTGGGATTAAAGGTGTGCACCTGGCCGTTATCTATTTTTTAAAAATATTTTATTTATTGCAGGGCATGATGGCGCATGCCTTTAATCCCAGCACTCAGAGGCAGAGGCAGGCAGATCTCTGTGAGTTCAAGGCCAGCCTGGTCTCCATAGTGAGTTCCAGGACAGCTGGGGCTATAGGGAGACCCTGTCTCAAAAAGACCAAAAAAAAAAAAATCTTTATTATTTTTATTTTTTGTGTATGAGTGTTATGCCTGCATGTAAGTAAGTGCAATGCCCACAGAGGACAGAAGAGGCTGTCGGATCCCCTAGAACTGGAGTTACAGATGGTTGCTAGCTGCCATGTGGGTGCTGGGATTCGAACCCGGGTCTTCTGCAAGAACAGTCAGTGTTCTTAACCGCTGAGCCATCTCTCCAGCCCCCATCTATTTAGTTTCGAGAAAGTCTCACTATGTATCCCTGATTGGCCTTGAACTCACTGCCTCATGAGTACCGGGATTAAGTGTGTGTCACCATGCTCAGCCAATGTTACCATTTTGAAGTATGTCTAACAATATATTTCATTATACTTACCTAAATTTACCCAAATGTACCCACAAGAAAAAGTATTGTTATTGTTTTGAATGTATATTTAGGACATCATCTAACATAAATTCATCATACTGCATGCATTATTAGGCTGAGCCTATAGCTCAGTGGTGACTTTCCTACATGTGTTATTGCATTTTTCTTTTTTGGTCTTTTTGAGACAGGGTCTCCCTGTAGCACCAGCTGACCTGGAACTTACTACGTAGGCCAGGCTGGCCTTGAACTCACAGAGATCCACCTCCTCTGCCTCCTCAGTGCTGGGACTTAAAGCCCGTGCCACTACGCCTGACTACATTTTTACTTTTCTACCCAAGTAACAGGAAGTCCTCCAAGTGATTACACAGGATCCACTTCTCATCTGTTTAGCCATTCTCTTACTGCTGGGCACTTAGGCCAAGCTTGGCTTAGTGGTGCCAGTCTATAATCCCAGAACTTGGGTGATGGAGGCAGGAGGATCAGAAGGTCAAGGTCATTCTCAGCTACAAAGCAAGTTCAAAACCAACATGGGCTACATGAGACCTTTTCTTTAAAAAAAAAAAAAAAAAAAAAAGATGCCAGGCGTGGTGGCACACGCCTTTAATCCCAGCACTTGGGAGGCAGAGGCAGGCAGATCTTTGTGAGTTGGAGGCCAGCCTGGTCTACATAGTGAGTTTCAGGACAGCTGGGGCTACAAGGAGACCCTGTCTCAAAAAGACAGAAAAAAAAAAAAAAAAAAAAAAAAGGAAAGGAAGGAAAGAAAGAGGCTCAGCAGGTAAATGTGCCTGTCTGCCTGTTGCTAAGCCTGACAACATGAATTCAATTCTCAGGAGGGACCCATAAGGTAGAAGGATAAAACAGACTCTTGTAAGTTGTCCTCTGACCTCCACACATGTGCCATGATACATGTGCATGCTGTGCACACACATACACACACACACACACACACACATACACACACACATAAATGAACAAATAAATGTAACAAAAAAATTAAAAAGAATAAAAAAGAGATAAAAGTCAGTGTGGTAGCACAAGCCTGTGATCTCAGCACTTGGGAGTGGAGGGCAGAAGGACCAGGAGTTCAAGGTCAGCTTCAGCTATATACCATGTTCAAGGCCAGAATACATGAGCTACATGTGATCCTGTCTCCCAGAAAAGAAAAAATTTAAAGCTAAAATAAACAGACACATGCCTCCTTGTGCACATAAACAAGTTTCTCTAGAAGAAACAGAAAGTAGCAAACACTGGATCACAAAACGTGTTCATTTAAAACTTCAACAGATGTGCTAATGCACTGTCCAGTGCTAATGCACTGTCCAAAGGTGCCATCCCAATTTATACTATCCTAAGAGTTGACACACCACCACCACACCACTTGCTAAATACATCAACTTTTACATGCACCAAACAATTAGTGCAATATTTTTACTTTGCTTTCCCCTAACCACAAGAAAGGCTAAGCATCATTAATGCCTGTTTGCCAGCAACTCCTCTTTGGAGAACTGTGTGTACACCCTTGACCGAAATCCCTTTTCCACCAGGCAACCCCCAACTTCTCTTTGTCTTTCATGTACCTTCTCCTGAATCCGGCCCCCAATGTTCCGCAGGGCATCCTGGAAAACTTTGTTCTTGGGTTCTAGGCTCACACATCTCTGCAGGTCAAGGACAGCCTGGTCCAGGCGGCCGAGTTTTTCTAGGGCTTGGCTTCGTCGGTAAAGTGCTTTGACATCCCCGCCGTCCTTTTCAATGGCTGAGCACAAACAGGAGTTCTGTCAGCACCCATTAGGCCACCATCTCCAGGCATGAACAGTAGGGAAAGATTTCCAGGGCAGAGGAAGGTGGGGGTACGAATGTGGAGCTTGGTGCTTCAGCCTCAGAAAAGGTGAGGGTAGCTGTAAAAAAGGAAAGGCCCAAGGAAGTGGGAAAGTAAGAAGGCAGATGTGTTTCTGAGGTCAGAGGAGGAAGAGAAAAGGATGGCTCAGTGGACCCAGAGTCCTTGCCCATCATAGAAGCCCCACAGCTCCACAAGAGGACCCACATTCTCCTACCTTTAGATGCCTCCGTTTCTGCTTTATCATAATCTTCCTGTAAGAGAAAGATCAGGAGCCTGAGAGGATGGTCACTTCCCTTTCCAGGGACTAACCAGGTAGCAAGGAGTTAGTTACCTTTGCTGGGGTTTTCCAGAACCAACAGACCCCCCCCCCCCCCAAATACTGAGACCCAAAGACATCTGAAAACCGTGAATGGCTAGGGGATGATCAGCCGGACCACAAACAGCAGCCGCGATGGGCAAATCCAGGCCCAGGTAGACCAAGGTTAGAACAACCCGACCCCCTCACCAGCTTGAGGTGGCAAGCAGCCCGGTTCCGGTGCAGAATGGCCTGGTCCTGGGGCGTTGCGCCCATACCTAGGGCCTGGGTGTAGGCGGTGAGGGCGCTCTCGTAATCTCCGCATTTGAACAGCTCGTTGCCCTCCTTCCGAAGCTGCTCCACTGAACTGGCCTGGGGAGACAAGGGCGGTGGGGGCGGGGCAGAGCAACGCAGGTAGGAGAACCGGGTCCGGGGCAAGTCCCAAGGAAGGCTAAGAATGGGGAGACAGCGGCAGGTGCAATGGGGCAGGTGTGAAAGGGAGATGGCACGGGAGGATCAGTACGCACTCCGGGAACCGCAGATCGGGGCTCAGGGGTCCCTGGACCACTCACAGTCATAGTGAAGTTGAGCTCCAGGACCCGCGCAGGCGCAGTCTCAGGTACAGTGTGGCCCTGGGCTGGGGAAGATGCGAGGGCTGCCCCGCCTCAGCAGTGCGTCAGAGGTGTGTCAGAGAAGGGGCGGAGCCAAGGAGAGAGCGAGCGTCCGGAAGGGCCGGGGCCGGGCGCTCGGCCGTGGTGCGCAGGCGCAGGAGAGCCCTGTGGGCGCGCCTAGTCCTTCCCAGCTGGGACCTGCAGGGGGCGTGCAGCCGAGGATCGAAAGGGAGTGAGGCGGCGGCTGCGGTCTCTGCTCCAGCTCCGGCCCCGACCGCGGCAGAAGTGCACGAAATCTGCGGTCATCAGTGCCACCAGCAGCAGGCTGTAGAGGACCAGAGCTAGGAGCGGGCCCGAGCCCCTGTGGGAGACGGGAGAGAGCATCAGGATGGTACTCGCGCCGCCACGAGCCCGGGCTTCCAGCCATGAGAGTCAGGAGAAAGCGCGGAATAAATACAGACATGCATACACACATTTTGTAGCAAATCTGGGCGTTCGCAGGTTCCCTGAAGACATCGTGGCCAGATTCAGAATTAACCCCGCTACTACAATGTAACTACAAGAGGACTACATGATCCTCTAGGGGTTTGACAGTGCCCGAACCCATTAAGTCCCACACCCTGTCGGTGGCCCTGGGACAGAAGTTCTCACCTGAGGATGGGTGGGGGCGGGATAGAGGACAGGTTAACTTGGTACAGGGCCTCGAATTCAGCCCGGGTGCAGCAGAAGCCCCCGGCAGCCTGCAGGTGGCAACAATAGGCTTCCTCCGGAGTATCCGAGAGGCGAGGACAGAAGAAACCAGGGTAGTGGCGGCCGTCGGCCTCACGGATGGTCTGGCACAAATGGGGGTGGTGGGCCAGTGCTGGAGAGAAGCAGGAAGTCTGGAGGTAAGGGAGGTTTACCCACACACCCCACTCCAGCCCACTTCAGCGTGCAAAAGGGGTCAAGTCCCTACCAGAAGAAGAAAGCATGCTCCCTCTTCACTTCATTGAACTTCCCAGTAGTCCAAATCACCCGCAGAGGGTAGGGAAAGGAGCTATACCTGAGAAAGAGGTCGGCTGGACCAGGTTCATCCAACTGAAAAGCAGCAGCAGCCCCACGGACAGGCCTGTGAGCAGAGGCCCTGAACTTTTCTGGAGGTCCATGAGAGGTTGCCCCCACCACAGCCCTGGACCTAGGAATCCCAATATTTGTCCTTCTAAGCCATGGCTACACACAATAAGGAATTAAAAAATCAAAGTCCCAAAGCCCTCAGGCATGGAAACTTCTTTACCACAGGCTTCTAGAGAGATGAAAGTGACTGAATTCCTATCTCCTACTGGAAATGCAGGGCCTTTGGCTCCCAACTACCTAAGGTTTTCAGAGCAGAAGGCTGTAAAGGCTCAAAGGACTAGGAAGGAATAACTCATGAGAGAGAAGTTGAGCCATTGTCCTATAAAACAAACACATAAAGCCAAATATGCTTCTCTTTTCTCACTCTCTAACTTCTAGGCTGCCATGGACACCCTGGGAATTCTGACCATTTCGTTTCAGGCCCAAGAGACCTCAGTTCCAGCCTGTGAAGCTTCCCTCCCTAACTGCTACAACATAGTAACCACCAAGCCTAGCCAAAAACCAAGGGCGGGTCCTTTCATTAACTTTCCCCCTGAGCCTCATGTCCCCAGCTGCCAGCCAAATGCAAAAGCTACCTGTGTGGCTGAAATACACTTAGCAACAGGCTACCTCCATCTCTCAGGGAAGCCCTATGGGGGATTTCCAGGTCTCTCCTACCCCTCAGAATTCAGAGCAGCCAAAACTAAGACAGGGAATTTCTCCAGAAGTTCCAAGGCCCACTAGCTAGTCCTGAGTTAAGAGTTGTTCCAGTGCCTACCCAGGCCAGGCAACATCATGCTTTTGAAACAGCAAGGGAAGCCTCATCACCTCAGGGGCTCACAGCAGGAGTCTGGGGACTGAAGCAGAGCCCTTATTGTACAAGAAAGCAATGCTAATTTTGTCCCAGTACTGAGGAGAAAGAGTTTCTGTAGAAACACTACCGCTGCCTGGAAGCCTAAATCTGAAGCAATTAGGCAGGACTCCTTGTTCAGAATCCAGTTCTTCAGACAGTCCTGGGGCCAATGGGGCCCAAGGGCTCTGGTGTCCTTAGTAACAGGGCCCATCTCTGTAGGGCTAACTAAGTTTGGAGAACCTTGAAAATATTCACTGCATTGACAGGTTGAAGACTGCTTTTTCCTCCTAGAAGAAACTGTCTCTGACTCCCAGGCTAGGTGAATTGTCCTTTCTCCATGGTCCCATGGTACCCTACACCTTCCAGCTCTGTGCTCAGCATCCTGTGAGGGTCATGCCCTTGTTGTTTGTGCTCCCTCTCTCCACAAACTGTTAGCTCCCAGAGAGCCAGGCTATGTTCTTCCTGAGCCCCCAGAAGAGTACACTGAACCAGGGGCTGTGATGTAAAGGTAGCCCCCCATACCAGTTGTTTTCTGAACCCACCTTCTGGGGCTAGATAGATGGCTCAATCGGTAAAGTTCTTGCTGCACAGGCATGAATACTTGAGTTTGGATTCACATTCACTCCGGAGAGTCCATGGAGTTCATTGGCCAGCTGCTCTTGCCCAATCCATGAGCTCCAGGTTCAATAAGTGACCAACCCTGTCTGGAAAAATGAAGTGGAGAGAGAGAAAGGAAGACACATGACATTGACCTATAGTCTCCACACACCACAGACCTGTGGGGTACACGTGCACATTCATGAACACGTACATACGCATCACACACACAAACACACACACACACACACACACACACACAATCTTCGATTGCAGCTTGTTACAATTAGGGCCGCCTCCGTTGCCCGAGCCTCCGATGCGCCAGGGGGCGCTGTAGACGATCTTTCTGGACCCCGGGCGGCAGTCGGGAGCCACCCACACGATGGGCTCGGAGGCAGCACAACTGCTGGAGGCTGCTGACTTCGCCGCTCGAAAACACCGACAGCAGCGACGGAAGGATCCCGAAGGGACCCCCTACATCAACCACCCCATCGGTGGGCGCACCGGCTAGGGCGCTGTCCTCGCGGCGCCTGCGGGTTGGAAACTGACTGGGGCGGGAACACTAAGGATGTTCACCTACTTGTGCAAGCCTCAGAACAACCTGGGGAAGTAGGCAGGATTGTTTTCTTGGTACAGTTGCTATCCCAGGAGGGTAAGGGACTTTCCAAGGTCGTCACCCAGCTTCAGGTGCCACATCTGGCTCTCCGTTTTGGCTCCCTCTAGTCTGACTTCTGCTTTGCCCCTGTCAGGTGTGGCCCGGATCCTAACCCATGAGGCGGGAATCACTGACATTGTGGTGTTACAGGTAACTTTACCCTTCTCTACCAGGAAGTGAGGGTGGGAATCAGGAGTCCTGTTGAGCCATGAGTACCCCGTGGGTAGTAGGCTGGTATCACAGGGCTGAATATGCAGCCTGTCCCTAGGCGGCCCTGCTCCATGACACAGTTGAAGACACAGATACCACCCTGGAAGAGGTGGAGCTACACTTTGGAGCACAGGTGCGTCACCTGGTGGAGGAGGTAACCGACGACAAGACTCTGCCCAAACTGGAAAGAAAGAGGCTACAGGTGGAGCAGGCACCCCACAGCAGCCCAGAGGCCAAACTGGTGAAGCTGGCAGACAAGCTGTACAATTTAAGGGACCTGAATCGCTGCACCCCTCTGGGTATGCTCCCCTACTGATTCTGAGGGAAAGGGGAGGGATGCCGAGCTCCTGAAAACACAGGTTGGTCAGTTCCCCCAAAACAAGCCTGGGCTGTCCTAATTCTCCAAACTAAACCTCCTAGAACAGTCGTCATTCATAAGGTGAAAGTTGTCAGATTGTTCCAGTAGGAACTCATCTCACAGCCTTGTTCAAGTGCTCCAGGAAGCCAGCAAAAGACAATGCTGGCCTTGATATCACACCAGCAGGTTTCTGTCCACTCTTATGCAGGATGGTCAGAACATCGAGTACAAGAATACTTTGAGTGGGCAGCACAGGTGGTGAAGGGGCTTCAAGGAACAAACCAGCAACTGGAAGAGGCCCTAAAGCAGCTGTTCAAGGAGCATGGGCTGACCCTCTGAGCTGTGCTTGATGCCATCCCTAGGCACAGGCTCCAGCAAGGCACAGGCAAGATGAGATTCTTAATGTGGTGTTTCAGTCATCCCCATCTCCTGCCCTCCTCACTCAACCCAGACATCAAAGGCTAAAAACTTGTGTTTTCTCACTCAGCTGAGCCCCAAATATAGGACTCAGATGTATCCCATCCATCCATGCATTCACTGCCTTTCCTCAAGTATTGAATCTGTTATTTTGCATGGTGGAATCTCTGGCCCCTCTGGTTTATAAATCATTGTGAAAAATAAAGGATTTAAGTCACTGTTCCTTATCCTTGCCTGGCCCCTGAATGAAGAACAAATTTGCTAGATGCTCGCCCCTGTATCAGTTTGCTTAGCTGAGGGCCTCAATCCTGGATCTTTGTGTCCTTATAGCTGGCATGTTTATTGTGGCATTATTAGGGTCAGATCATGTAGCTGAGTGATCTGGATAGTTCCCTTAAGGAAGTTGGAAAGGATGACGTGTTCTGGCATGGATTGCTACCACTTACTGGCAACTCTGGCTGGGAAGGAGAGAGATACCAGTAACATGATAAGGCCTGTGGGAGAATTATGTTCCTATCTATAGCCAAACTGCAGCCAGAGCTCAGTGATTCGCAAGCTGGAGTATTGGCCCTAAGATTGCTGGCTTCCTGAGTTGCTAAGCAGCAGGAACTTCCGGGGTACTCAGAAGTGGCTTTGGCATTGCCCTGCCTGTGGAGGTGGGCGGAGGCTGGGGGAGGCAAAAAAACTTCCCATAGGTGTCACATAATGAAGTTTTTTTGGTAGCCTTTAAACTGCTGGCTTTTTTGTCTCTTTGTATAATTACATTTTGTTGGTGGTGGTGGTGTGTGTGTGTGTGTGAGTGTGTGTGTGTGTGTGTGTGTGTGCGTGCGCGCACATCCCACGGCATGGGTGTGGCTGTGTGTGTGTGTGTGTGTGTGTGTGTGTGTGTGCGCGCGCGCGCACATCCCACGGCATGGGTGTGGTGATCAGAGGACAACTTATCAGGAATTGGTTCTCTTCTTCCATGTGAGACCCAGGGATCAAACTCAGTTCCTTTGATCAGGCTTGGCAGCAGATGCCTTCAATGGCTGAGTCATCTTGCCAGCCCCTATATTTATATTTTTGTTTTTTTGAGACAGGGTCCAACCTGCAGTAATCCTCCTGCCTCTGCCTCGGAGTGCTAGGATTGCAGGAGAGCAGAAGAGCACCACCATGCCTTGGTTCCCTCCAAGGCTTCTTTTTAAAAAAAATTTTTTATTATTTTACCTGTATGAGTGTATTGCTTGTATGTACTTGTGGTATGTAATGCCCGTGGAGATCAGAAAAGGGTGTAAGATCCCCTGAAACTGGAGGAATGGATGGTTGTTAGTTGCCATATGTGTTCTGGGAATTGAACCCAGGTCCTCTCCAAGAGCAGCCAGTGTTCTTAACTGCTGAGCCATCTCTCCAAGGCGTCTTAAACTTCCTTGAAAAGTGATGACCAGGGAGACTGGGAAATCCTTAGGTCAAAGACCACTTCCTATTGGTTTATTTCCCAAATAAAGATCCCAGTATTGAGGTTTTGCAGAAAAAGTGAAGAGTGATTTGAAAAAAGAAAAAAAAGGCAGACTTTGAATGTAAATGAAGATGGCTCAGTCTCCAGAGTGTTTAGGCATATGTGGTGATGAGTTCCAGGCCAGCCTGGGCTATGTGAGAACTTATCTCAGGAAATAAAAAAGAGAGAAAGGAAGGGAAAGAGGGAAGAAAACCAGTTCACCCTGGAGCTTGGAGAAGGAAGCATGTCTGTTGAACTCTGGGAAAAGCTGGATCCTGGTAGACAAGCCACTGGACAGAGTGTTCACCTACGCTGGGAGAGCACAAGAAGAAATACCCTGACTCCTCGGTCAACTTGGAGAGTTCTCAAAGAAATGCTGCAAAAGAAAAGTTGAAGTTTGGCCAAAAGTGACAAACCTGGTTGTGACAAAGAGATGAAAAAATTTAAGTGACAGATAAGAAAGAAAAGAAAAAAGATCCCAATGCTCCTAAAAGACCACCATCTGCCTTCTTCCTGTTTTGCTCAGAACATCGCTGAAGGCTGAACATCCCTCAGACTGGAGGGATGGCTCCGCAGTCAAGAGCTCTTATAAATAATCTGAGTTCAGTTCCCAGGACCCATGTCAGGCATCTCATAACCACCAGTAACTCCAAGTCCAGGGAATCGTAACACCCTAGGCCTCCACACCCATTGGCACTCACATACACATATACAAATTTTTTTTTGGTGGGGGGGCGTCTTTTTGAGACAGGGTCTCGCTGTAGCCCCAGCTATCCTGGAACTCACTATGTAGACTAGGCTGGCCTTGAACTCAGAGATCTGCCTACCTCTGCCTCCTGAGTGCTGGGATTAAAGGGGTGTGCCACCATGCCTGGCAACATAAACAAATTTTAAAAAATTAAATCTAGGGCTGGAGAGATAACTTTGTGGTTAAGAGCATTGACTGCTCTTGCAGAGGACCCGGGTTTGATTCCCAACACCCACATGGAGGCTACAAACTGCCCTTAACTCCAGTTCCAGGGGAATCTGAAGCTCTCTTCTGACCTCCGCAGCATTGCATGACACAGGTGCACTCACATACATGCAGGCAATACACTCATACATATAAAATAAAAATAAAATTTAAAAAAATTAGATAAAAAAAATGTTTTTATGTGAACACTTAAGCCTTTCTTACCTCTCATGTGTTGGGTGAGATGTAATCAGAACAGCCAAAGATAAACAACCATATGAGTAGAAGCAGCTAAATTAAAATAGAAATATGGAAAAGATTTTGCTGGATACTATGCCAACAGAGAGAAGCAGAAACTAAAAAAAAAAAAAAAAAAAGGAAGAAGGAAGAGGGGGGGGGGGGGGGGGGGGGGGGGGGAGAAAAAAAGGAAAAGCCATCC